AAGTGGAAAACCTCCATTTTTAAGAATTCCTTATGATCAATCCTTAAAAAATAAAATCCTTGGAGGAGAAAGAGAAAGAAAAATTACGAATACACCACATGAATATTGCGAACTTTATACTTCCTGTTGGAATCCAAGTCCTGAAAAAAGACCTGATATTGAACTGGTTTACAGTGAATTAAGTAATATAATACATAAAATTAGTGAAAATCAAAGAGACAGTGAATGGATTAAAAATGCAATTATTAATGAACATATTAATTATTATGAATACAATCTATTTAATGATATGAAGGAAATTGGTTCCGGAGGTTTTGGTAAAGTATATCGGGCAAAAGGGAATAATTGCTTTTTTGCTATTAAAGCTTTTAATGATGAGAACAATAAAGCAATTATCAACGAGGTAACGAATAATGTTACATTTAAAGCTTGGTTGATTTAAAAAATTTATTAACGTACCCTTTTTTTCATTAAAACCATTTTAAAGCTTAAAATACAACGTAAAGTAGATTTTCATGAAAACATTATACGACTTTTTGGTATAACTTCCGGTAATTATGATAAATTTTGATGTTGCAACATTTATGCATAATTTACTAAATTCTAATTTATGGTTAATATTCTATTTTTTTAGAATCGTATTCATTTCATCAAAATTACATGTTGGTAATGGAATATGCGAACGATGGATCCCTTAAAAATTACTTGTGTCGGAAATTTAATAAACTTAGTTGGGATGATAAATATCAATTAGCTTTTCAAACTGCGAATGCCGTTGAATGTTTACATAATGAAGGAATTGTACATCGTGATCTGGTAATAAAACATGTTATTTTATTTTTTTATTTATATATTAAGTAAATCACAATTAACCTTTTATTTTTATTGATAGAATTCTAATAATATATTGATTCATAAAGGTAAAATCAAGCTGGCAGATTTTGGTTTATCAAAAAGGATTGAGAAATCATCAAAATCATCAAAGTTATTTGGTGTAATTCCTTATATCGATCCAATTGCACTAGCCAATAATGATGGTCTTTCTCGTTATGAATTAAATGAAAAAAGTGATGTTTACAGTCTTGGTGTTATTTTTTGGGAGATATCAAGTGGACATCCACCATTTCATCACGAAGACCATGATAATTTGTCATGGAGAATTGTTCAAGAACTTAGGGAAACAGCAATTGAAGGTACACCTGAAGATTATACGAAGATTTATAGAGGTATATTAAATTTCTAATCAAATCTCAAAGATATTTTAAGTAGGATTAATCAAGTAATTTTCGCAATCCTTTTAGAATGTTGGGATGCTAAACCGGATAATCGTCCAACTGTTCAACAAATTGTTTCAAGATTAAGAGCAATGATAACGCAAGATAATTTGCAAAATGATGATTGTGAAATAAATGAACTACTATTTATTGAAAATGAAAATAATTTAAAAAGTTTAAATTTGATTAATACCGAAGAATTAAATCGAAGCGTGCAAAATCATGATACATGTATAATTGCAAACATGAATTATAACACTAGTTCGTTAGAAGATCCGATGCAGAAACCCAGCACGGAACCGTAAGTTGCTGATGCTTGGATGTTAACTTGGCATTTAAACGTTTGAAAATGACAAGATATGCACAGTACATATTTCATAATCAATACCAATAGATAAAGATACTGTATTTAACACGCTACGGATTATGCGGTCTCATGCTTTTTTATTTATTTAATTAATTAATTATTTATTTTTGATACTTAATCTGATACAATAAAAAATGAAAAAATGTCTTTTTTTATGTAGCACTGGTATATGAAATTATGAAATTGAGATATTTTGGAAAGTTATTTATTATTTTCATAAAGCAACGAAAGCTATCATAGTGATAAAAAGATATGGTTAGGGTTGTAAACCAAATCTTAAATTGGCAGCATGTTATTTGCAAATAAAAGGTCGAAAAATCAATTCTAACAGATATGTCAGAAGAAATCCAATTTTATGCGCAGTTAATTTCCGAGAGTGAATGATTAGATAAAACTTAAATATTTAATAGCTTTCATCTAACTGTGCTGGAAGTGTGAATTTACTACGGATGACAATACCCAAAGATTCCTTTTTAACTTTGCTGAGTTCATTATGCAATATCTTCTAAAACATAAAAATACTTTCCAGTTAAATTTACGTAATAAATATAAAATTTAAGAAATTTTATCTTGCATATCAGCAAAGGTTTCAATAGATTTATACATAAATGATGCGGCGAATCATTTGTAAATATAAAATTTCATCTTTCTAGTCTTTGTAAAAGGTAAAACTATCATTACAATTGAACAGACATGAAAGTTTTGTTTGGAAGATTCTGGCACAAATCCAAATTTAGTTCTTAATATAATTATGTCGCAGTAGTTATTCAGATCAGGTTGATAAATATTTATTCGGTATCGCATAATAATTATTTCATTATTTAAATTGTTAAGACAAATAAATAATAATTTTAAGGCAAAAAACAATTATTATTAAACATTTTTTTCATCACGAAATCATTTCTTTCTCAAATCCTTTTCTAATGTTTCTAATGAAAAATACAGTTTTTAGTATGCTTATAACTATAAAGATTTTTAGTTTATTCTTTTTATTCTAAATTTACTGTAAGTAATTTATATATAAACGAGTTTATCAAAATCTTCTCTATTAACGAATATGAACTTTACAAGAATTTTAATTCCAATACAAATAATAAAAAGTAAAGATAAAAATTCTTTATTATAAATAAAACTATTATATAAAATTAATGTAGACATTATACAATAAAAAATTGCCAGATACATGATTTACTAAAGTCATTTAATCATAAAAAATCGGGATAAGTTAAATCAATCATTTTTTAAAATGAATAAATTATCTGAAGGTAAAATATGATAATTTAAAGAACTAATATATATATTTTTTTACAATTAGAATGCTTTAAGATTTTTTTTTATAATCTTTGCTAAACACAATACTGGATAAATGACGCAATCTTTTAAAATTTGCGCAAACATTAAGTAAAGTATTCGTTTTATGTGAGAGTTAAAGATTAATTAATAAATCATCATCTTAAAATTCATATTTAAAAGTTACATTAAAATGTACCCACGTGCGTTTAATATAAAGAAAAACATACAAAATTTAATATATATAGTTTCAAAACAATCATATATCAAAGCCCAGTTCTTTAGAAATATAATCTATGAATTATTGACAATATTAATATATTTTATTTGCTATTAGAACATCAATTTACTATTACTTACGATTATTTTCATTGAATTTAACTTTTTTTGTATTTTCTTCTGAAATAACGGAGAAACAATTAAGTAAATTTATTAAAAATTATTTGATTACTTAAAATAAACATATATATACCATCCTCAATCAGAATATCGTCAAATTTTCTTTTGCCTTTAAAAAAAAATAAAGTTTAACATTATCAAGCATAAAATGACTAAAAAAGTATAATTAAAATAAAATATATTTACCAAATATACTTCGACTTGTTACACTCCTTGTTGATTCTGCAGGTATACTAACAGATCCAATATCAGGCGAGTTAATAATCTTAGTTTATTTTTTTTTTCATTCAAAATGATTTTATAAACAGATTCACGAATAACCCCTGTTGTTGGTCTTTTATTTGGATCAGAATGCCAACATTTTTGAATTAATTCGATATACCCTTCAGGTGCATTTGTGTTAATAGTAGGACGAATACCATCACAAATTTTAATAATAAGCTCAATATCATAATTTTGATCCCAAAAAGGTCTTCTACCTGTCATTAATTCCCACATAATCATTCCAAAGCTATAAATATCAGAGGCTTTTGTATATTTATTGCTTTTTTGCCCTTGCAATACCTCTGGAGCAATATAAGGAATAATTCCATAATAGCCATTTTCATCAACAGATGCTTCAGTTGATAATTTACTAATTCCTAAATCACTAATTACAACATTATATTCATTATCACAAAGAATATTTCCACTATGAAAATCTCGATGAATAATTTCTTGACAATGAATATTATGAAGCGCATGGATAATTTGTTGTAATAATATTAATTTATTATTCCATTCAATGCTATAGAAGTTTTTGGTTATATAATGTTTTAAATCATATGTATAATATTTCATAATTATAACAAAATCTTTTGTTTCAGGATTCTGGGTAATTCCATAATATCTATTTAAATGAAGTAAAGAAATAATAAATCCATCATTTAAATTAGCATTATAGATCATCATAAGCTAATTTAAATAGGTATGAATTAGTATAAAATATATGAATTATAATCATTAAACTAAAAAAATATTTTACCTCATTTAATTCCTTAAAAGTAATATTTTTAGAATTATTAAGCTGTTTCAAAGCAACTGTTAAATTAAAATCTTTATATTCAAAATCTTCTTTTTCTTCATTCCAATAAGGAGGACCAGTATTCCATATTGCTTTATAAACTTTACTAAATCCTCCTTCACCAATAATTTCTATAATTTTAAATTGATCATAAGGAATAAATAACATTCTAATTGATTCTTGTATAAAATTAATCTGTGTATATTTAATAAATTTATCAACAACTTTATTTCCACTTGGTTGATATAATAATTTAGATTGATAACAAATTATACAAATGTCATAATGTTTTTTCTTCAAAGGCTTTCTTTTCTTATAGCAACTATCACATATATTATAAGTATTATTTTCCAGTTTAATCATAAATTCTATTGATGTTATTTTTTCAATTGAAACTTTAATATAAAAATCTTGCATTATATCTTTATTCTTTGATACTTTTTGAAACCAATAAAGAGATTTTTCTATATCTTTTTTTATCCCATTACCATTAAAATAGCAAAATGCAAGATTAAATTGTGATTTAATATTTTCATTTTCTGCAGCTTTTTGATACCAAAAAAAGGCTTTTTCTAAATGCTTTTCTGTTTCTTCACCATTTTCATATAACAATGCAAGATTATATTGTGCATTAGCACAATTATTTTCTGCAGCTTTTTGATACCAATAAAAGGCCTTTTTTAAATTCTTTTTTGTTCCTTCACCACTAATATATGATAATGCAAGATTGAATTGTGCAATACTATGATTATTATCAGCTGCTTTTTGATACCAATTAAAGGCCTTTTTTAAATTCTTTTCTGTTCCTATACCATTTTTATAAAATATTGCAATATTATATTGTGTATCAGTATCATTATTTTCAGCAGCTTTTAAATACCAATAAAAGGCCATTTCTATATTCATTATTGTTCCTTCACCTTTTTCATATAATAATGCAAGATTATACTGTGCATTAGCATAATTATTTTCTGCAGCTTTTTGATACCAATAAAAAGCCTTTTCTAAATTCTTTTTTGTTCCTTCACCATTAATATATGATAATGCAAGATTGAATTGTGCAATACTATGATTATTATCAGCTGCTTTTTGATACCAATCAAAGGCCTTTTTTAAATTCTTTTCTGTTCCTATACCATTTTTATAAAATATTGCAATATTATATTGTGCATCAGTATCATTATTTTCAGCAGCTTTTAAATACCAATAAAAGGCCATTTCTAAATTTATTATTGTTCCTTCACCTTTTTCATATGATAATGCAAGATAAAATTGTGCAATACTATTATCATTTTCAGCAGCTTTTTGATACCAATAAAAAGCCATTTCTAAATTCTTTTCTAAATTCTTTTCTATTACTTCACCATTTTTATATGATAGTGCAAGATTGAATTGTGCAATACTATTATCATTTTTAGCTGCTATTTTATACCAATAAAAGGCTATTTCTAAATTCTTTTCAGTTCCTTCACCATTTTTATATAAGTATGCAAGAGTGTACTGTGCATTAGAATTATTATTTTTAGCAGCTTTTTGATACCAATAAAAAGCTTTTTCTAAATTCTTTTTTATTCCTTTACCACTTCTATAAGATATTGCAAGATTATATTGTGCATCAGCATTATCATTTTCAGCTGCTTTTTGATACCAATAAAAGGTTTTTTCTAAATTTTTTTCTATTCCTTTGCCATTTTCATATAAATGACCAAGATGAATTTGCGCAAAATTATTTCCATTTTCAGCTGCTTTTTGATACCAATAGAAGGCTTTTTCTAAATTTTTCACGACTCCAAATCCTTTTTTATAGCATTTACCTATAAATAACTGTGCAATAAATCCTTTATCATTATTTTCATATAAATCAAGCATATTGTAATAAGAAAAAATTCCAAGTAAAAAAACATTTTTAGTTTCATTTTGATTTTCATTAAGCCAGTTATATATAACATCGGTTGATAAAGTAGTAAGAGCAATGGATTCATTAATAAAATGCTTCGTTTCGTCAAAACTTTCATCTTGTAATTTAATCAAATGTATAAATAATTTATCAATTAAAATATTAATATTATCAATTGAAATAACCATTTTCGATATATTAAAACATTCTTCATATTTTGTTTCTAATTTTGACATGATAGTTGAGGTAAATAAAAGAGATATTTGAAAGTAAAAAATTCTTCTAATGAGAAATGACATTCATTATAGAAAATAGGCGTAAATATGGCGTAGAATTCTTTCTGGTAGTTATTATACTAAAAAGGATAAAAAAGTACTCCGAAAATTGCACATGCATATTTGCAAATTTTCTGCGCCGCCACGTGCAAATTTTATACAAATGTTCCTCCACGACCACTCAAAACTATTGGGAGCGAACCAACTCGAGAAATGAAACTAAAAAGGAGCTAATTCCAAAATAAAGAAAATTAAAAAAAACTATCGCTGTAACGCCAAAAAAAGATAGTTTAATATAAAGAAAAGATAAAATCAAAAAATTCTAACTAAGCAGCTTGATCCAACTCGAAGGAACCTAAAGAAAAGAAAAGGGTACAAATTCAAAAAGATAAAATAAATTTATAAAATTTCTTTTCTCAGTCAAAAAAGTTTTTCTTTTCTTGTTTACGTATATACAATATATAAATTGAACTTTTTGTTTCGTAAACTTAGCATAGAGCATAAATCCAAAGTTCGAGTAAATGCCTATACTCTTTGAAAATGTGAAGTAGTAGCAAGTTGGTTCAGATCAAAACCAAAAAGCAGAACAAAATTTATGGGTCGTTTGCTATTAACATTGAGTTACGAGACATAGTAAATCATATGATCCGTAATATGATTTTAATAGCAAACTTCATTGGTAGTAAATGTTTTGGTAACCATTATTTAATTTTATTACTATTAAAGCCAACAGTAACAAAAAAAAATATACCGGATAGTAATTGCCAATACGAAAACCAGCTTTGATAATCATACGTTAATAATTTAGTAATGTAAATAAATTGTTCGATAATTTAATTAAATCCGGATAACAAATTTTTACCAAGACAAAACCGGAAATAAATAAATCTGGGGACTCAAAAAT